CACTAAGCTTTGTGCTTATGGTTTTCAGTTCTGGTTTCAGGTACTTCCAGTTCGGAAGGAAGAGCTCGGGATGACTGCATTGCACACACCATGATGTTTTAGCGTGGGATGTTTTACTCTGATATGATATGTTTAAACATGATGCTCTGATTAAATATGTTTAGAATGAATGGTTTTATTATAGTTTTAAAATGAAATTTTTGGACATGATTTTTGGGACGTTACAAAATGGTCATTTCACCCCAAGTAAGGATTATGTATCATGGTTTGGAACCCAATTGCTAATTGGGTGATGTTTTGGTATTAATATCCCATGGAGTTGCCAGGACAGTAACTAAGGATTTCCTGCAATGGACTTCAACAATGTGAGGTGAGTTACCTTCCAGTAGAAGTGGGTCGAAGGCACCAATGTCGGTACACTAGTAAGTGATTATAGTATAGATGATTGTCTTTGTGATAATTGTCTAGTATGCCACTATCTGTTATGCTTTATGTGCTAGTATGCTATGATATTATGTGATAGAGGTAGGAGGGGTAGGATAGGCCCCGTTACCGGTCGAAAGGACCGAAGGGGTAGGCCAACACCCTGATATGCTAGGCAGTATGTGCCTTATGTGTTTATGTACTAGGATGTTATATGGTAGTAGTAGGGGGTGAAATAGTCCCCGATACCGTTTGAAATGGTCGAAGGAGGAGGCCATCACCCTAATATGGTAGGCAAGTTACCGGTTGAAAGAAATAGAAGGGGTAGGCCAACACCCTGATATGTTAGGCAAGTTACTAATTGAAAAGAGACCGAAGGGGTAGGCCAACACCTTGATATGCTACGTCGATGCCACTTCCTTTCGACTACCTCTTCTCTCTGATCACCATAGTACCACCTTGGAAACCTTCCCAGCTTCAAGATACATAAGAAATCACCAGAAAACTCAAACTAGGAACCATGATATCGCCGAAGAAAAACCTGGTTTTCTGGAGAAGGCAACACTTATCGAATGACACATCAATCAGATATATCATTCTCTATCCTATGAAATACAACGGTTTGTGGAAATGGTACCATAAATCAAATAAAAAAGAAGAAAAACCCAGATATCCAAGATGAATTTGGTTCAAGAGATAGAAGGTCTTGTAGATCTTCAAATTTACTTGCATAAAAACCCAGATAGAGTGGAGAAAAACATAAAGATTCAAGATCAAGGAGTTGCAGGTTCACCAGAGTTCTGTGTTAGCGACATTTTTGAGCTCGTCAGCGGTCCATGTTGGAATTTCAGTAAAGGGATGGTGGTGGTTTTGATTTCAGTAAGGTTATAGGGAGTGGGAGGTGTTAGGATGTGCTAAGGATTCTACACCACTCCCTACTTTGTGCTAAAAAGAAGTTTCTATGGGTGTAACGAGAGAAGAGAGGAGAGAGAAAGTATGAAGGAGTGTTGTGACTGACTGCTTTGTATTTCTTTATATATTTTAATTTTTTTCTCCGAAACTAAACCTATTAAATTATAACACTTCCACTCCCTACCTTTTTGGTGCTAGACATGCTAAGCTTTTGTGGTATCAAAAAACTAAAAAATCCTATGTGGCAATGTGCTAAAAGTGTTCCATTCCCTCCATCCTAAAACTAAAGAGGAGTTTGTGATTTCTAGGGATGAACACACGTAAGAAGACAAAGGGTGAGGGGTGGGACCTATATTTTTATTATAAATTATAATAAATAATTATTAATTAATAAAAAAACTAAAAAAGAAAATATAAAGGGCAATTTAGTCTTTATGTCTGTTAAGGACGAAAAATGCAACAGAATCATACCATAAAGATGGTTCGAGTGCAAAATAAATATTAGGGACCAAACCACAAGGATAATTTTAGTAGTTTAATCTAAGAAAAAATTCTACTTTTGAGGGTATGTGTATTTTATATTATTCATGTGGTGTTTTTTAAGAGTTATACCATTATATATTGTACATCCATATATGTTAAAATACGATGAATATTGTTTATGAGATGTGTAACACTTGGATATTGGTAAGTTTCTTATTTGGCATTGTAATATTTTTTTTTTCAAAATGGCCCCTTAGCTAGTACGCAGGGCGTACTAGAGTGGTACGCTTAGCATACTAGCCTTGGATGGACGCATAGCTCATCCACGTACGTTGGGCGTACGTGCTCAGACCCAAAACCCTAATTTTTAGGGTTCAAGCTCTATATAATCACCTTAAGTCCTAAGAGTTGACCTCTTTCTTGAACCCTAATAGTATCTTTGAGTGCTCTTGACCTTTTTAGGGTGTATCCTTGGTTAGTTGGTGCCTTTGGTGGAAGGAGGAGTTAGTGAAGAAGCTTTGTTGGAGCTTGAGCTTGTGGATCAGAGACTACGCACCTTTCTCAGTTGGAAGAAGGTATAAAGTCTCAACCTTGATGTTTGAATGCTTAGATCTCTTCTTGTTATGGTCTTATGCTTCTTTTATCCCCAAACTTTGGTCTTGGTGAGTATGGGTTACTCTAGACCCTTTGACCTGTCCTTTTAGACATCTTGATGAGTCTAGAATCATAAAAATGAGGCCTTGGATGTTAGTTTTCCTCATTACATGAGTTATAGTGTCTTTATGGATTAAGAAGTTGGGATTTTTGGTGTAAAGCTCTTAATAGCCATGCAAAACCATAAATTTGGAAACTTTATGGTTAAGGACACTATTTAAGACCTAGATCTGGATATGGATGTGAAGGCTTAAAGGATTAAGCATTGATTAAGAGTTTTGGTTCAATCAAAGTACGTTGGGCATACTCTTAAGTACGTTGTGCCTACTCATTTGGGACCCTGATCTTGTTTTGGTTGTACGTCGGGCGTACTACTAAGTATGTTGGGCGTACTCAGCTTGTTGACCGATTTGACTTTTGTCCCAATTTCCATCGAATTTTTGACCAAGTGGACCTTGGTCAACTGTTTTGACTCAGGAAGGGTATTTGACCACTTTAGGGTTGCCCTTGGAGCTTTTGGGCCTTAGGGCCCATTAATTTGGTGCTTGTTGGGCCTTAGTGGGCCTAGTTAGTTTGGGCCATATTTAGGCCTTGGATGATTATTTTGGAATTTGGGCTTTTTGGGCTTTTGGATTGGCCCAAGTTAGGGATAGGGTAAAGAGGTCTTCTTACCTTAGTTTGGACTATTAGTGTGAGTCGGGATCCGATTATTGATTGGATGATTATTTTATGATTGATAATGTAGGGATTTTAGCGAGCCAACATCTAGAAATTTATCTGTGAGATTCGGTAGTGTGAGGTGAGTTTCCTCACCATGTTTAGCGGGTCTAAGACACCAATGTCGGCCCATGATTTGTTATGCTAGGATACTAGATGTCTATGTGATTCTTTTATGTGTATGTGCTTATGTGATTTATATGTTGGGCGCGGTCTGTTATGCGAGTTTGGGCGGGGCCCACTATACTCATTGGGCAGGGGCCGTTATGCGAGTGTGGGTGGGGCCCGTTACACGCATTGGGAGGGGCCCGTTATATGCTTATTTATGTATGGTATGTGGTATGTTTGGGAAATCCACTAAAATTTGTGCTTGCAGTTTTCACTTTATATTTCAGGTACTTCTGGTTCCAAAAGGAAAAACCCAAGATAATTACAGAGCACACACCACCTCGTTCCGCATTTTGTGATTTACTCTGATATGATATGACGATTGATACATTTGTTTTATTTTTGGATTTTTATGATGATGTTTTTAGGATATTAGTTTTTATTAATTTAAAAATGAAATTGTTGAGTCTTATTTTTAGGACGTTACAAGATGCAATAAAAATATAAAAACAAGAATACTCTTAAGAGTCTCTTTGTGGGAGGTGATGTGTATTTTATATTAGTTATGTGGTGCTTTTAAGAGTTATACCATAATATATTATACATTCGAAGGAGTTGCTTTTTGTGTATGAATCACTTCCCTTTGTTTTCATACATTTATTTACTTTTATAATTAGCCAACTATTTTCTTAAATTTAAGTAAGTTATAACGTACTTTTGATTTACATAAATTATTTGGATAATCTAGCTAATGTGTTGTAGGTAGAAAAAATTGCAGTGTAATTTATGTGTTAGAATAACATACTGTAAATTTTTTAGTTTTAAACTATTATAATATTACTTGGTCGACTATTTGTTAAAAAATTCATATAAACTTCGTTATTTTCATATAAATTAGACGAACATTGTTTGATGTGCATAAATAGATTTATATCGTAAAACGTAGACTTATATATGTTATTAAAAATATGGTTAGTATTATAAAAGGTTTTATAATCTTGGATTTTTTTTCTATTAAACTTATCATTTTTTTAGCAACGTGCAGACATTTACATAGGACGTGTTCAACATGGAATGTTTTATAGTGTTTGAGAGCTTCTAGCTTCTAACGTTTGACAAAACGCTCCGCTTTGAACAAAAAAACTTCGTTTGACACTACAAACTTCTAACATTTAGTTTAATCAAAACGCTTCAAATTCAAATGCTACTTCATGTAGTATTTAACAAAATGCTACAAATTACCCACTATCAGCTAGTTTTACCGAACATACCCATAATATTATATAAACCCTAAACATATCCCAAAACCCTAAAGAGGGCCTCCCATCTATGTAATTCTTGTTCGACTTCAAGGACATGTCAAAAACTTGTTGACTGCTTTATATGTTGGAAGTCTTACAATTCACATTCTTATTTTATGTATCAACCTTGAAAATTGTATGCTCTTAACAATCAAATCTCCAAATTCACGTAGCATTGTAAAACATCATATATCATTTTGAATTCAATAAAAAAAACATGGCCATTTTTGCGGTTTGCTATTTTTATGCTAATTTTATTTCCTAAATTATGTTATTGGTTTATTATTCGATTAATTAATTAATTATTTGTTTAATACAAAAATGTAATTTGAAATATTTTTTTCCAAAGCATATATTGTATCGAAATTAGATTTTTCTATATTTAATTTAACAACATTGCATAAAAACCATGGGCGAGAACACAACGACTCGTGTGGAAACGCTACATGCGTTTTGAAATGGTCACGGGCCATTGAAATCGACCAAATAAAAGTGAGACTGTGAGAGGCGAGAGTGCCGCCGGACTTCAACAACTACAACCTGTCCGATTGGCAACTCCTTCGGATCCGCCATGGCTTCTGCGATGAGAATCGTTATTGGTCTACTTACACTTGTCACTATCGGAATGATTGCCGGTAATTTTCTCATTAATTCCTTAAAAACAGCTTAATGTCTATGATGATCAAAACAATTCTCTACGATTACACGATGCTTTGCTAAATAATTGCTATTATGCTTAAAAAGGTAGCTTAAGCTTCTTCTAAATTCTGTGTATATTGCGAATTTTTTCAAGGTTTGTTTCGATTTTAGTTTGTTGTTACCAAGGGTTAAGTAACAGCAACGAATGGATTAACTATTCATTTTCAGGCTTAGTTAATAAAAAAAAAAAGTCGATCTATTTTGTTAACCAGATGTTTATACTCCTGTTGTTGGGTGATTTTCGTGAATGCTATTTTTATTGGGGACAATGACGGGGTCTTATTTGATGATCTATAATTACGTTCCTTGGATTCGGCTAGCGTAGCAATCTTCTATCTGAGGTGGTTCTTTTCAAATCCAGAATGTTTCTACTATAAAGCTTTTGTATAATTCAATGTAGTTATCCAATTCATTTTAGGTATTTGGATTTTATTTTGGGACAAAAGTTATATAGATTTCACACCCTGATACCTAATTACCTTTCTTGATGTCACTCTCAGTGAGTTTCCAAAATGCTCCTCAGTTGATGTGCATGTGATAGACTAGACCCATACGTTATTGTGTCATGTGTGAACCCCAATCAATGCTTCTGCTAGACAACAACAAACAAAGTTTTTTACCTAAGGGAATGATTTAAGTATCTTTTATGTTTATCCTTATATAGAGGTCAATCTCTATATAAAAACCATGTTGAGGACTCAATTAAGTCAAATTGCAAAGACCTAGCTGAAAGATGATGAAAAGACTAAAACTTGTTGATTAAACTTAACTTGATGCACAAACTATAGAACTATTGAGTTATTTGTGGAAGGGGATGACTACTAAGTTTCGGTTGAATGCTTTCTCATTGAAATCAATTTGATAGCATATTTGAGTATACATGTCTATATATCCTAAAAACTTTGTCAGATAGAAAAGGTATAATAAATGTTAATTGTTAAACATCAATTAAATGTGAAAAACAGAAAAAGAAAAACCATGGCCACCATTTCATTGAAAACCAAAGCATACTTACATAATATTTCAAAATGAAAAATAAAGAACAAGATTATGTAAATCTAAAACTCAATAACCTAAAGCAAAAATGATTCATGTGACACCCAAACTTCATTTGTGAGCAAAATATTCTTGGGGTCCTCTCAATTGTTTTTAATAATTAGCATGATATACAACATTGCTGTTAAAATAATGGTAATTAATAGTTAATACATCAAGATGATTGGATCCCTAGTAACCTACCTTGTAGTGTGGCAATAGTAGATGATAATTGACCTTTTAATTTCAGGCATAACTTCCTACTTCATGCTTTTAACCAATAACCTCACATTCCTAAAAGATTTATACCATATATGTCTTACATTCACCATATCTTAATCTTAGATGCCTTTTGCTAAATGTTTTTGTTCTTTAACAAATCGCAGGATCTTTGCTTCAATTGGCATTTATTCGGAATTTGGAAGATTCATATGGTAAAATATTCTCTCAAGTCTTTAAAAGCTTTTATATATTGGTTATGTTCATTGTCATAGATGCCTAACAAATATATTGTTTGTAGGCACTACATTTCCTTCATTAAGAAGAACACTTGGGAGTAATCAGTTGCCTACAGGTTAGCATCTCACATTCTATTCTTCATGACAATTAACCTTCATCAAAGTTAATAGCTAGCATCATAAAATAGAGAAGCATTTGAACATATAAAATTGAGAAATTTGCTCAACAACAAGTGCTCATAAGTAACAACAATCCATGTATTTAGCAAACTCAGTAATTTCCTATAACTAGATAACTTTTAGTCCAATGTTCACTAGCCCTACCGAATTTTGAAGTGATTCAAACATATCATAAAGCTGTTATTTGTATGTATTTACTTGCAATCTTTTCTAAAAAAAAAAGTTGTGTCATTGTGTGCATATGTTCTTTTTTTTAACTTCATTTTTTACCCTCTTATGGTTTCAGCTGTATCAGGTTGGGGGAATGACAAAGAAGCTGCAATTTTACGCATTGGATACGTATGTCCTCAAGCTCCATCTAAATCCACATACATAAATACATAAACATAAACACAAACATATTTGTTTTTTATGTATGCAAGATAATTTCTCTCACTTTTTTAGTCGATATTCATCTTATTTGTTTTCGTTTTCTTTATTTCTTCAGGTCAAACCTGAAATCATTAGCTGGTCCCCACGAATCATTGTGTTCCATAACTTTTTAAGCTCAGAGGTACACAAACATCATCAAAATTCTATTTTTTAAAAAAATTTATGCTTCTTAAATTATAATCTTTATTCACAAATAGAAAGTTACTAGTGTTTGGATATTTCAAGGATGCATAATGCTCTAATTGAACTCATGATTCTGAATATGTTATGATTTTTGTAGGAATGTGATTATCTTAGAGCATTAGCCAAGCCTCGTCTTCAGGTCTCAACTGTTGTGGATGCAAAAACCGGAAAGGTATTTATGTTGAAAATAATATGTGTTTGGTTTGTCGATTCCGATGGAATTGGAATTCGAGATTCCATTCCATGGTTGCCAAATGGACGGAATTCAATTCCTTCACAATTCTTCAAATTTCATGTCTGATGGATCATCCACTATTTAGTAGATGGTGGCAGGGTTCAATTTCATCCTTCATTTTTTTATCAACAGACCAAACTACCCTCTCATTATGTATATATATTGAAATACATATAAACAAAAATTGTATGTAATGATTACTTAAAAAATAGGGAATCAAGAGTAATGTGAGGACTAGCTCTGGCATGTTTTTGAACCATGAAGAAAGGAAGTATCCAATGATAAAGGTTAGTACTTACTACTTTGACTACTTTCCATTGTGTTTGAGCTTATAGAGCTATTTCCTATGATGAGGATGAGAGGGTATTTCTGTCTTTTGCACAGACGAAAAATTGCAAGTTTTTTTGGGTGGGACAAAAAGTTGCAATTAAGAGGAATTGTAGTACAAGTGAGGATTTTAATGTAGTATGTTTATTTGTGAATGTAGGCAATTGAGAAACGGATTTCTACATATTCTCAAGTTCCAGTTGAAAATGGAGAGCTGATTCAAGTGTTGAGGTGGGTGTGTTGTTAATTGGTATATATATAATTTTTTTTTTTTTTAAAATTCAAAGGAATGCTTTTACTAATATATTTTCAGTAATAAAGCTAACATCTACAGAAGCACAGGTATGAACCAAATCAGTTCTACAGACCCCACCATGACTACTTCTCTGATACGGTAAACTTTTCATTTGCACTTATCAAAAATTTTCATTTATTAGAAAAATATAAAACGTTATGCATCGGTTTTACCAGATTAATTGCAACATCACAAAGATCTCCTTAATATAATTGATATTTATTTTATTTTTAACTTCTTCACAAGTTAAAATTTTGTTCTAAATAATAATGAATTTGCATGAAGTAACTAAAAAAAAGTAAAAACGTCTACAAAAGCAACTTTCACTGTTCATATGAAGAGTCTAAAATAGAATTATGTAAATAAAAGGGACGTGGTGTGATTAAAAAGTATTATGTGAGTTGAAGGGTTATAAATGAGAATTTGTTAATTTATTAAAATTGGTCTTTATGCTCGTGGGGCCCAACCCAACCATGTCTAAGGAGAGAGTTGTTTTTCCTTGCAGTTCAACTTAAAGCGTGGTGGTCAAAGGGTGGCGACAATGTTGATGTATTTAACTGATAATGTTGAAGGAGGAGAAACTTTATTTCCAATGGTAAGACTTACATTCCTTCCTTCCTTTATTTATTTATTTATTTAATCTTATAAAATAAATACAAAGTGTTTTCGTATAAGATATTTGAGTAAATTACACGATTTGTCCCTGGTCCAAGTGCCAAATTGCGCGTTCAGTCTTTTTGGTTGGGGTTGGGGTGTGTTTATTTAAATAAATTAAAAAATCAAGGGCAAAATAGTCTTTTTGGGTAAGACAGGGACCAAACGCATAACCAAAACAAACAGTAGGGACCTTCTGAGTTAAAAAAAATATGTTAGGGACCAAACGTGCAAATTACCCTAAACCATAGGGGGACCATTCGTGTAATTTACTCTACTTTTAAAAATGTATCCATTTATAGCAGTTTTTGGATGAAATTGCTATAATTAGAATATTAGATGGATTTCTCAAAGTAGGAAGGTGTAATAGGAAGAAATGAAAGTAGGAGGACATAATACAGAAATCAATGAAAGTATATTTGCTATTTCCACATGTTCTATTTTTCATGCATCTATCTAACTTGTATAAAATGCCAGGCTGGCTCAGGTGAATGCAGCTGTGGTGGAAAAATGGTGAAGGGACTTTGTGTTAAACCGAATAAAGGAGATGCTGTCCTTTTCTGGAGCATGGTATGTTACTCAAACAAATTTTTTTTTTTTTTTTTGGAAGTATCAAATCCATGAAAATATTTTGCTATTTCTTACAGGGACTTGATGGGCAATCGGACCCTGATAGCATTCATGGTGGTTGTGAGGTCCTCGCAGGAGAAAAATGGTCAGCAACAAAATGGATGAGACAGAGACACACTACTTGAATTTAAAAAGTAAAAGTTAAAAGTACTTACAAAGTATAGCATCAAAATTCTAAATTATCAAACTATGTATTAAATTTAGTGTTAAAATCAGACAATTAAGGGAAGTTATATATATCACTTTTATAATTACAAAATTCCCATAAAATAATGGACCCGTAGGCTGTCAAAGTAAGGGAAATTGGATGACGAATGAATGGTATAACATTTTAATCGAATGAGTCATGCTAATGCTTGGTTGGTTTGTAATTGTAGGAATGGAAATTCATATCAATGTTTTATAATACTTTTAAATCTACTCTCTGTATTATTCAGTTATATATAAAAAAAATAGACATAATTAAAGTTGGTTAAGACCCAAATCAAATTATAACTAAAAATGTTTTTCTCTAGTTATTTTTAGAAAGTAGTGGTGTAATATGATTGAACTTGTGGAATCCTTTGAATAGTTTTGGGTTATTAAAAATTGCATAAATGAAAACGTGTTATATTGTAGTTCTTTTATGTCATTTTATGATCAAACGAAAACATCACTAAGTAATGAAAATAAAAAATGGAAGGAATTGTATTTCTGCAAGAACGGAACAATTTTTTCATTTTAATGAAACTAATAATTTCATTCTGTCCAAGTATTTTTCATTTGAATTTCTTTAATCTGTAAATATGTTCTATATAAATTAACTTTTGGTGGGTTTTAGTGATTTTTGTTAATATAACCAAATAAATTTTACAAACATCATTCACAATCATCGACATTATTTTAGTTATTTTTCATTGACACATTTGGTTTCACTAAATTTATTAAACAAAAACAAATTATCTTACATGTATGACAAAACTAATGGGTAACTTGGTATCTGATAGTTATAATTGTAGTTGTGGAAAGCCGGAGCTTTTATTTGTCTACAAGTGTAGAAGAAAAGTAGTTGGTTTTTAAAGTAAAGTTTTTTAATAGAACCAAATCAAATGTAACTAACATCACCCACAATCAACATTGTTCATAGCTATTTTTCATTGAACTGGTGTCCACTAACTTTATTAAACAAAAACTAATTTCTTACACTAGTTGGTAGCTTGGTGGCTATTAGTTGTTAACTGTTAGTTAGAAGTTGGAAAGAGGAAACTAGAGGGTTTTTTTATTTATTTATTTATTTATTATTTTTTTTTATTTTATCTAAAAGTTTACGAGAAAAATAGTTAGTTAGCTTTTAAAGTTGCAAAATACAAAAATACTAAAAATTAACAACTTCTAAAAGCTATTTAAAATAGCTTTTGGATAAATAGTTTTTTGTTTAAAATAAGAACTTTAATCCTTACACCCCAACAACTCGGAAGTTGCTCCCGAACATCCTTACGAGTCCAAAAACGGATCACTTTTAAAAGTTTTGAGTAAATTACATGAATGGTCCCTATGATTTTGAATAATTTACATGTTTAGTCCTTGACTTATTTTTTAACTCGGAAGGTCTGAACTGTTTGCTTTTGTTACGTGCTTTGTCCCTGTCTTATTTAAAAAAACTATTTTGCTCTTGATTTTTTAATTTATTTAAATAAACACACCCCTAACCACACCTTCTTACCTTACCTTACATACCCCACTATTTTTCTATATTTAAATAATAGTCTTTTTCGGTAAGACAGAGACCAAACATGTAACAAAAACAAACAGTGGGGACCAAGCGCGTAACAAAAACAAATAGTAGGGACTTTTCGAATTAAAAGAATAAGTTAAGGACCAAACACGCATGTTATCCCAAACCATAGGGACCATTTGTGTTATTTACTCAAAAGTTATTTATTTATTTATTTTTTTTTTTTTGAGATTCACTAGTTTACCCAATCTTTGTGAATTGTTTTATAAATCCACTCATCTAGTTTGATTGCAGAATTTTGATAATAGATACTTAGAGGGTGTTTGATATAGCTGCTAAAGTGACTTTTCATTTTTCTCTTTTTCTAAAAGTCAAAAAAATGTTTGGTAAAATGAAAAACACTTTTGTAATCAAATTTTTCAATAGAGGAAATCGTGTCTTTTTGAAAAGTCATATAAATTTTGAAAAGTCATATAAACATGACTTTTCCAACTTTTCAAACACTTGAAACATTAAATTATCTTTATAACCCCCGCTATCATAATCAATTCATCAATTCATCAATCATTTTTAATCATTATACATGTAAAAGTTAAACCAAACACTTTTTAAAAACAACTTTTGACTTTTTCCCCTCAAATGCTATTCCAAACACATTTTAAAAAACAACTTTTGTTAAAAGTCCTTTTACAAAAAGTTCTTTTGCCCCCACAAAAGCTAAGCCAAACACTCTTTTAATTCAACTACACTTTGGCTCAGAAACATTTCCCCAAAAACAATCTAATATTAGTCAATATGGTATATCTTATTGCAAGGGGACACTAAAACTCAGACAATGTAGTCTAAAAGCTTCAGGTGTTGCTACAACCCACAAAACATACTATATCTTTCACATCTACTCTAATAAAGTGAATGTTTTTTTTGTCACTCGTCACACACTCATTCAATTTGCCAAATGTTATTTTATGGTTGTGAATTATTTTTTTTTTCCACATATCATTTTATGGGTTTTTCTATTTTCATAAAATCCACATAATACTGTAATGTAATAATTACAATAAATCTAGTAATAAATGAATATCAATTTCATTAATGGATTTATCTTCTTATTTCAAAATTCTCAAATTAAAGCTCATTAGTTTATTTTGTTTATTTATTTAAATTTAAAAGATAAAAAATCAATTTTAATAATTCATTATTTTTCTTATTTTCTTATAAATCCAAAGTTCTTATATATATATATATATACATATATATATATATATATATATATATATATATATATATATATATATATATATATATATATATATTAACTCATGTAATACATGGGTCTTACACCTAGTTTGTTACAAATATACAAGCTTCAATAGCATGCTGGATCAACTATTCAAATACCCTTTTATTAAACCAAGTATACCTTGAGTTTAAAGAAAAGTTGACCATACTAAAATTTTCTCAAAAGTTCAAAGGATTAAAGAAATTGATGTGTCACTTGTTATGCATTGCTATATAAAACATGGTATCTTGTACGCAACGAAAAAGTTTAACTTCCAATTTTGCAAATAAAAAGAAAAGGAGAAGTGCCATTGAATTTCGAGTCACAACTATTGTCTTCTGGATATTGGGAAACAAAGAAAACTAAAACATAACAAACTTGTAAACCATTTACACTGTAAAACAAGGAGTGTCCACTTCTTCCTTTGGCACAAGCTTACCAATGAGCTTAAGCAAAGAAGCATCTAAAGATCTAGCTTTTATATGATCAAGTAACATTGATACAGTTGAAGCATCAAGTGAAAAGCCTTTCCCTTCCATTTCCAATAAAATCATCTCTACCATATCATGATGAACATACTTTAAAATTCCTTGAAGAAGAACGCGGTAAGTCACATCATCTGGTGAGCAACCTATCTTTTCCATCTTAAAAAACAACTCTTTTGCTTCACTCACTAAACCTTCCCGACAAAAACCACTTATCATCACATTGTATGTCCAAACATTCGGTTGCAAACCTTTAACAGTTAGGTCACTGAAAAGGTTCCTTGCAATATCAAACTTCCCAATTTTACTTGAACCATCAATGAGTATACTGTACACAATAATATTTGAATTTAGCTTGTTGTCACCCATCACACGGAACAAAGAGAGTGCTTCTTCCACTTGATTGTTGTTGCATAAACCCTCAAAAACTATTCCATAAGTGAATTCATCTGGAATCAAGTTGTGTGCTCGCATCTCATGAAATAGTTAATCTGCATCTTTACAACGTCCAACTCGAAACAATCCATGTATCATGGTGTTGTAAGTGATCACATCGGGTTTAATACCTTTTTTAGTTATTTCATTAAACAAATGCATGGTCTTTTCCATCTTCAATCTCTTGCAATACCCATTCAATAAACTATTATAAGTGACAATATTGGGAACCAAACCTCGAAAACCCATGGAATAAAAAACCTCCTTTGCTTTCCTCATTTCACCACGCAAACAATACCCATCAATAAGTGAATTGTATGTCACTACATTAGGATCCTTCCCTCTCTGAATCATTAAGTTGATAACACTTTTTGCTTCTTCCACTTTACCTTCCTTGCAATGTGCATCGACTAATATAGTAAAAGTATGAACATCTGGGGAGATGCTTTGCTGTTCCATTTCTTTGAGCATTTTATCGACCTCATCCCAACAACATAAGTTACAAAGACCATGAATCAAAGAGTTGTAAATGACAACATCAGGTAAAATGCCATTGTGGAAGACCATTTCTTTGAAGATGTTTAAAGCATCATCTACCCTTTTGTCCTTGCAAAGACTATCAATGATGGTGCTATATGTGAACACATCAGGTTACAACCCTTTTGATCCATTCGTTTGAGCAAAGCAATGGCTTTATCATTATTGCCAAATTTAGAAAGCCCTTTAATCATAGTGTTATACATAATTTTATTAGGTTCACAAAGTTCCTCTTTGATTAGCTTCTTGAATAATATTTCCGCCTTGGGGACTCTATCTTCTAGGACGAGTCCATTTAAGAGTGTATTAAATGTGTAAACATTAGGTAAAACAGCACGTTTAAACCCATAGCCAAGGACTGCAAATCCTTCATTGGTATGGTACATTTGGCAGCAACACTTGATAGCAATGCTAATAGTGTACATATCGATAGGAACACGAAGGGCATTCATTTGTTTAAAAAAGTCTATGGAACAAGAATAGTGTTTCATTTTGGTAACACCTTGCAACAACTGATTGAAGTGAATTACTGGGGGCAGAGGTTGTCTCTGTGTCATTTCATCAAACAGGTTGAAGGCATCATCAAGGTTAGTAATCAACTTAAACACAGATCGAGGATGATTAAAAACCCTTTCATGACTGGGTGAAGAAGTTAAATGAAATGTTGCTAACATCGTTTTGGAGGGACAGATTCCGGTAGCTAATTCTAAAAAGGATGAAGGATTTTTGAAAGAAAGAGGGGAAGAATGAGAACTAAAGGTACCTCTGAGTTTGTTGGGGGAGATGTGAGTAGATGAAAGAATTGACGTTTTTTGGAGTCGACATCATCACGACAATCGGCTTCAAATAGTTGGATTCAATAAAACACATGTTTGAATTCATTGGATGGATTCAATAAAAAACAAGTTTGAATTCATTAAACGCCTTAGTAATTCTAGAGTAAATTACAGGAATGGCCTCTGGTATAATTAAAATCATAGCTTTAGTCCAACCTGGCATTTTGTTACACTGACAATCCTTATGGTTTCCTTTTGTTAGATGTTTGGTCCTTGAGTAGTTAAATTACACAGATGTTAATTTTCGAAGACAAATTTCACAATCAGTCCCTGTGGTTTTCAAAAAAAATGAAAACTTGAGTAAAATATTAGATTTTGTTATATAATGGTCTCTAAAGTTTCAACCTTGTACCTTTCATCCCTTTTGCCAACTCGATTTATTTTAAGCCGTTGGGTGTATGTAAGATGACTTATTATTATTATTATTATTATTATTATTATTATTATTATTATTATTATTATTAGTTAATAGTTTATGTAAATATTAAATGATAATAATAATTCCACCACCACCTGGCTTTTATCGTATGTCGTTCACCATGATAACCGATACCCTCCACCACCCACCTTCAACGAGTTCGCTTAAACCCAAATTAGAACCTTTTCATATAAAGAAAGAAAAAACATCATAAATGGTCCCTGTGTTTTTCCAGATTCTGAAGTTTAGTTCCTGTGGTTTAAAATCTCATAAATGGTCCATGTGCTTTCAAAACTTTTGACAGATGGTCCTTATTGCTAACTCCATTAAGTTTTATCCGTTAACTAAAGGGAATTTTAGTCATTTCACACCACAGGGATCATTTAAGAAGTTTTTCTTTTATTTACAAAGGGGTCTCTCTCTCTCTCTCTCTCTCTCTCTCTCTCTCTTTGACGCCTGCTTCCCCCTACTTTGTTTCCCTCTCTTGAGGAAATAGTCAACCAAGCCACATTCCTCCCCTACGACAAATCCCAAATGGAGTTCTACGCCGACGACCTGGTTCCATGGCTAGAAAACCAGACCTCAAACCTTGTCACTTGATCCGCCAGCGCGTTAGTAACCATTTCCATGGACGCGTTGGTGCCAAGCTCCAACACCCATTTGCAAACGCTGTGGCCAGCTGCTAATGGCTCCGTGGTTCACCCAAATCGAAACTAGAAACCAAGTTACGATACATAGTGACGCTTACAGTTGGATTTTTTGGACATTTAACTTGATGCTCCCATTTAGGGTATTTTATGGTGTCGTGGTGGAGAAGAAGGTTGACCGATCTTCTCCATCAATTTCATCAGGAACCACTTACGATTTCTAGGGCTATTCAAATTCATCCGGTTAGGATCTGCCTACGATTTCATTATAAACAAGCACTCATTTGATTCTTGGATGAACACATCTTCAGATTCTGGTACTTATAACTCCACTTCCTCCCATCTCGGTTTTTTGATCACAACTAGCACATTCTGGTTCTTCTTCCTTAATATAAGCTCAATGGAAATCATTTGTGATATTTATTCTCAATGGTAACTTAAGAATCAGAATCCTAAATTCGAATAAAAAACTAAAATCATGTTTGTTTTTGTTTCTGTAAATCAATTTGAGTTAGTGTGTGGGTGTTCATCCTACCATAAATTGATTTGTATGTGGATGTTTATCTCTCACTGTTCATTCAGTTGTCTTTATATGTTGGGGGTCTTGTGATTCTGGTGCTCCGGTGACTCCACATATGAGTTTGGACTCTCCATGGGAGGTCAAATAAGGAAAAAGAAGTTGCAGAAGGTGTTTGGACTCAAATTTTGTTGTAAATTTAGTGGTTTTCAAGTTTAATTGTATTTATGTATGTGTAGTTTAAGTTGTAGGTCAAATAAGGAAAAAGAAGTTGCAGAAGGTGTGGTGGATGGTTGGGTTGTCGCAAAACGAGAGGAGCAGTCTCTCTTTTCCGACGACCCTTTGTGGGTCTTGTTCTAGTTGTTGGCAACGATAAAGCGAACGGAAGAAGAGCAGCAGTGGGTCGCAACAGGGAAATGGGGCTTAGGCTGCTAATTGTCGGAGGTATAAGGTGGGAAAATGGGTGCTGGCAGTGGTGTTTCTTGGTGGTTTACCATGGTTGAGAGTGATTCTTCACCAGTGGCAGTTCAGACGATTTTTTTCTTGTCGGACATGAGCTAAGAAAGAGAGTGAGGAGGTGGCTTGGAGAGAGAGAGAGATTATATATTAAATAATTATATTTAGTTTTTTCTTTTTTAAAAAAAAATAACTGAAAAGATCAAATATGGTCCTTGTGGTGTGAAATGACTAAAATGCCCTTCAGTTAACGGATAAAACTTAACGGAGTTAGCAATAAGGATCATCTGTCAAAAGTTTTGAAAGCACAGGGACCATTTATGAGATTTTTAAACCACGGGGACTAAACTTCAGAATCTGGGAAAACACAGGGACCATTTATGATGTTTTTTTATAAAGAAATGATTTTCTAATGAAGGACATTTATGAACAAAACCCTCACAAAGAATAAAAAAAACATATATCCAAAACGTAGTTAAAGAAAAATGTGATTGATACATAAATTCGGAAATACAAACATAATACAAAAAAGATAATAACTTAAAAGGGCAATATATTTTTCGATTTTTACATATTTGGTTACTGATTTTTTTTTCTGTCTACATTTGTCTCTTCAACTTGTTTAGCTGTACACATTCAATTCTTATGACCGGCTAGTTCATGTAAACCGGAAAAAAATGACTTAATAAAATAATATATTTTTCATTTTGTACACATTTAATCATTAATATTTTTGTGCATATTTAGTTATTATTATTTTTTGCAAAATAAATCGTTGTTGTGTTTGTACATATTCAATACTTATGTACGACTTAAGTTTTTTCTCACGACATTCTACGTGGGATAATCGTTAACGAGGTGTTCGGGAGTTATTCAAGCTTATGGCCGCCGCGGCCTCGATTGCTTGGTGCTTATGTCTTGTCTTCTAAATGTCGTAACTTCTTTATACGTTCTCGGACTTTATTGATCTTTATATCCACACGTTCGCATTTCAGTCTACCACAAATCATTTAGATTACTCCCATTAAAAAGTAATATATTTTTACTTGCGATCTTTATATACATGCGTTCTTTATGAATATATGTATGGACGTTTTTTTATAAAATCGTACGTAAAAATATATTACTTTTTAAAAGGAATAATCTAAACTGCTTAGTTGCTTAGGTCTTGTGGTTTGACTTACGTCATGTGTTCTAAACGTCGTAACTCCTTCACACGATCACATATTTTAACGATCTTCATATTCATACATTTATATTTGAGTCTACTACAACTTTCGTTTAAATTACTCCTGATAAAAAGTAATATATTTTTACTTATGATCTTTATCTACATGCGTTTTTTATGAATATATGTATGGATATATTTTTTTTAAAACGTAAGTAAAAATGTATTTTTTTAGCGGGAGTAATCTAAACAAAAATTGTAGTAGATTAAAAAACGAACACATGGATATAAAGACAGTTAAAGTCTGATATCGTATGAAGAAGTTACGACGTTCGGAAGATAAGACTTAAGCACCAAGCAATCGAGGCTGCAGTGACCATAGACATAAACAACCTCGAACACCTTATTAATGATTGTCCTAAGTAAGATGCCATGAGAAAACCTAAAGAAACCGTTCATCAATATTGAATGTGTACAAAAACGACTTATTTTGAACTAAAAAAACTATTAATGACTAAATATGCATAAAAATATTAAGGACTAAATGTGTACAAAATGATAAATATATTTACCATATTAAGTCATTTTTCCGGCTTACTTGAGTAGCTGGTCGTAATGATTGAATGTGTATAGTTAAACAAGTTCAAGGGTCAAATGTGGATGAAAAAAACTCAGTGATCAAATGTATACAAATCAAAAAATATATTATGCTTTTAAGTCATTATCACATACAAAAACTCACAAACTCATATAAAAATCCAGAATATGAAGAAGATATAGAAATTCATTAGATTTAATCCTTATAACAAATTGGTTTACTCAAAAGTGGAAACCTCAATAAGAAATCAAACAAAGTCCTTATAATCTTGAGTTTTACTATACATTTCAATTTTGTTTTTCATATTTATATAGGAAACGATGTTGCTCAAATGAGCTCCAAGAACATGATTCATTATCCCTATTTCAGATCATTAATCCAACATTTAGCCCTAAAGTTCTAACCCAACGTTCTTAAGATTTGTTGATTTGTTTTTTGAATGCAAACGAATCAAACAGAATTCATATGAGGCCAAAGATTTGTTAGAAGAATAAATACCATCAGATGATCCCTGCCGATGGATTCAATCTTCTCCTACCAACACCACCCTTATTCCTCCACAAGCCACCAAGTCACCACCATCTCCACCTTCACCCATATTCAACCTTGCACCAAGTTAGAACCCATAATTACCCCTCTCCCATCAAACACCACTACAACCATTACCATCTTTAGCTACCACAAATGGAACCTCATCCCAATGACACAAGTTATAAAGGTTGTGAATCAAAGAGGTGTAAGTGATGACATCAGGTAGGATGCCTTTGTGGAAGACCATTTCTTTGAAGAGATTTTAATCATCATCTACCCTTTTCTCCTTACAAAGACTATCAATGATGGTGTTATATGTAAACACATCAGGTTTATAACCCTTTTCATCCATTAGCTCAAGCAAAGCAATGGTTGTATCATTGTTGCCCATACCAAATAATTGAGTCAAAGAAATAGAAAGATTGACACCCTTTCACAAACAACCTACAAAAATGCACATTTGATCTTCTTTTAAGTACTAAAAGATTATTGATGCCAGGATG